TGCTCGGCCGCATCAGTGACTATTGTCGATGGATTGAAGTCCGCAGAGCCTAAAGAAAAATGCCCTCTATGCCGAGAGGTGAGTAAACATCTTCTTTCCAATTGGAGTTGTAAAATTGAAACCTTTTAGGACCTGCATCGCTACAATTCAAATTAAAATCGCTTACCGTTTTGTGATTGTTCATGTTGATTTCAGGCAAGAGTTTTCCAAGGCGCTGTGCATTTAGAAGAGCTCAACATGTTACTTAGCAGAAAGTACGTTTTTGTCCAGCATATACCGCTCACTTAGAATCCGTATACGAGTGGATGATCATCCTATATATGCAAAATTTCTCATTGTTATCTGTTCATGTTTTGACAGCTGCCGTGAATACTGGGAGCAGAGACTCCAGACCGAGAGGGTAGAGAGGGTTCGGCAAGCAAAGCAGCACTGGGAATTCCAGTGCCGGGCATTCGTTGGCATTTAGTCGCTGCCCCACGGTTGGGGCTCTGTAAACCGCCAACGATTTTGTAGTTTGGAAAGCCATTAACTTCTTGTTTCTGGATGTTTAGTTTCTTGTATGTAACTTTTGATTAACTCTGTACATATGGTCATGAATAAGGGAGGATTCACAGTTTTTTTTCTTTCACCAAATTGGTTCAAGTTTGGGAGCAGCCTCTCCATAAATGGGGGTAAGGCTAGCCGACATTCACCTCTCCCAGACCCTGCGTAAAGCGGGAGCCTTGTGCACTGGGTATGACCAAATTGGTTCAAGTACATTTGCATTTTGGATTATGGTCAAATGCATCCTGGCTCCTTGAACCTTACTACAAAGTATCCGATGGTGCGATTATATTTTGTAACGCTATTTGTACCATATTTATTGACTACTAAGATTGAAGGCGGAGGAGGAGGGTTGGTTTGGGTTGCTGTTCTAGTTGTCGTTATCGCTGTCGTCGCCAGCGCGGCCTTGGAAGTTTCTGGCTTTGCTCATAGTTGCCGATTGGTGGTTGAAGTTTGGTTCAACTCTTGGTAGATAGCGTGGGTATTGGGGGTGGTATTCTGATATTTCCACTATAGGCTCCAATGTATTAAAAGGCTGAGGCCTTCCATGGATATTCTTGCTTAGGCGTGAGGCGTGAGGCGAAGTCTTACGGGACCTTAAATAATAGGGGATTGTTGAGAAAAACAGAAGAAACATGAACTCTTGGGGTTTTAAAAATAAAAGAAAAACAAACTTGGCCAACACGACGTCGTTTTGGGCAAAGTCATTTAAAAAAAAAATTAAAGACTTGGCTAAAACGACGTCGTTTTGGACCAAGTCTTGAAAAGAAAAAAAAAGTCCCTCCTCTTCTTCTTTAGGGTCGTCTTCCTCGTGAAGACACCGCACGCCCTGCAACCCTAAACCCAGATGACAGAGCCTGACAACAGAGTATTTGACTTCAATTTTGGGTCGCAGATGGATTTGGGAATGCCCGCCAACTGCCTTTAGGCAAGCCTCGAACACGCCTCGACGAGTTTTCGCCCACTCCCATTGGACAGAGGCATTATCACTCCCGTCCCGCCTCCAAAGCCGCCTAGGCGCACCTCGGGGAACGTCTTTTAAAACACTGGCTCACATAGGGGTGATTTTCGAATGGTGATGTCGGAAACAAAATTTCCAATTTCCATTGTAAAATTTAGGAATCTGATCGGATCGCAATAAGTTCGGAACACTTAAAAAGAATTTGGATCGGAAACTTGAAATTCTCAAAATCTCTAACTGCATTTCAGTTTCCAATCCAATTTTTCGAAAATATTCGGATTCCAACATTTTAGGTTCGAATTCAGAAATATTAATGTCGGAATTGGAAACTTCGTTCCATTTTGCATAATTAATCATTCATCAGCCAAGGTTTCTACAACATATTGAAAAGGAAAAGAGATGACATGAGTGCTGGAAGGATGAGGTCGCCCGCCGTGTAAGATCGAGCATATTCCTCAACGGGTCAATATCAAGGGATTTCGATCTTTATGCACATGATATCGTTTGCATAATTTCTCCAAAGTTGCAACGGAATGCTGCATTGCATTTAGTTTTGTGTCCATGAACATTCTCTGCAGAACGCAACAAGAACCCACGTTTAGGAGAAGAAAGCAACATTACAAACTTCTATTTCTAACATATGACAAGAACCTGTAGCCCACCTGATGGTCATCGCCATACTTCTCAATGAGCCGACCAATATGAAGACGCTGCATGGCTGTTAATGGTTGTAGTGGTGCAGATTTTCCATCTCTCCGTTTCTTCCCTAGACTAGTTTTCAAATCTGTATAGCCAAGGAACGTCTCGTGATTAAAAAGGAAAAAAACAGAAATGAACACCAGAAATGATCAACTACATCTCAATTTCCCAACTTGAAGAGAGAAAAAAACGAAAGAACCAAGAAACTCCGCAACAAATGCTATATGCAATCCAAAAGACCAGTAGGTCTACAAGTACTTATTTCTTAGAGCGACAGAAAGATTCCGTCTTCACTATCCACTTAAGCCTATACATCATTGCATTCTAAAGGTCTTTATATGCCACTCAAAGAAAGAAACTGAAGTACGTAAACGATGAAAATAACTCCATATGGTGATTTCCATCCCATCAAATATAACCATCTGATTTAAGTAACAAGATTTTCAAGATTCAGCTTACTCAAATACTGATAGCAAGATTTTTCAGAAAACACAGCATAAATGGAATCTAACAGAAGATTCTAGCTTGAGTATGCAAAGTCCAAACACGAACGTAGACAATAGGCATGAGATTACAGGTTCCATTCTGAATCTTTTACCTTTGTTGTTAGGTGTAATTCTAAAGTTCATTACAACCCCTTTTCTGGAATTTTTGGATTCTAATAACCCACCAGTAGTAAGTGGTTTGGATTATTTCCCAATTCCAAATTCGGAAGCTCAAAACTTTACCCTAAAAAACTAAACTTTCCAGTAAACCCAATTTGTACTTCAATTTCAATCATTAATCCATCCAATGAGAAGAACCCTAATCCTCAAATTACTCATTTCAGCAAAAATTTAAAAATTACCAATTCCTAGTACGAAAATAGGCATGAGATTACAAGTTCCATGTGAATCTTTTACCTCTGTTGTGAGCCTGCAATTCTAAAGTTTATTACAACCATTTTTCTAGGAACTTTTGGATTCTAATAGCCGAGTAAAAGGTTTGGGTAATTTCTCAATTTCTAATTCGGAAACTTGAATACTCCTCAAGCTCAAGTAGAAATCTTTACTCTTTAAAAAAAAAAAACATCTGGAATCCAATTTCAATCAGTTATTCAACCACAATTGGAAGAACCCTAAACTTCAAATTCCCCATGTCAGCGAAAAATCATAAATTCCCAATTTCTAATTCAGAAAAACAGAGAGAGAGAGAGAGAGAGAGAGAGAGAGAGAGAGAGCTGACCGTCCTCTTCGAGGTCGCTACCGTCGCCAAAATCGAGCTCGGCGGCGGCGTCGGGGTCATCGGAGGGAGGTGGGGGGACCTGGAGAGAATCGCTCTCGACCACGTGACAGTTGCGAGCTCGGAGGCTGACCAAGTTAGGGTTGGAGACGAAGCCGAAGGACTTGTAGTTTTGGATGACGGAGCCCTCGGCGTCCCACTTGGGGGCGGAGGCCGGGCCTTGTTGTTCCAGCAAGGCGCGCAGCTTCGGAGGGAGGCAGAAGGCGGGCTTGAAGACGTTGGGCTTCTTCTTTGGCAGCCCCACGCGCACCTTCGTCCGCGACTGCTTGTACTTTCTTCGTGACCTTCCCATCTCTCTCTCTTTCTCTCCGCCGCTCTGCGAATCTTTGTTTTACGGCGGAATGAAGGGTTTATGTTTCCCGGGGTTTTAGAGCTTGCAAAGCTTACTCTGACCTAAAGCATATAACAACCCCTTAAACGCTGCGTTTTGTATTGACCTTTTGCCTAAAATTTTAAAGTGAGTTTTAACGAAAAGCCTGCGGTACTGTTCACTTTAACGAAAAACCATATTTTTACACTAAAAAGTCAAATATGGTACTATTTATTTTACCATTTATTTTGTCCTTATCATTAAAACTCAAAGTTTTCAAGCATTTTTCATTAGTTTTCATAATTTTCAATTTGGTTAAATTGTAGCAAAAGTCCTTCAACTTACCAAAAGTTTAGTTTTGGTCGGTAAACTCTAGTAATAGTTACTCTTGTTCTCGAATTATGCCCCATGCTGTTCCTTTGGTCTAGATAAGATATTTTTGTTACACATTAGCCTTTTATTTTTATAAAGAGTTAATTAATTAATTTCAAAACTGTATTTTGTGAGTGAAAAGTTCGCACTCAAATTACTTGTGACGTTTTTCCTAACGCTCACATGAAAGAGTTTGCAAAAACTCAACGGTTGTGTTTTTTTATAAAAGTTACAAGTTACCACTCACGATAGCGTTAGTAAGTTAGATGTTAGATTAGCTAATGATGGGATTTGAACTCACACCGTTATGCAAGGGTACACATTTTCATAATTGTGATAAAATGCCACTTACAGCACTCACGATTTTTAGTTGGTTTAAAAAGTTTCTCCAAGGCCCATCATCAAACCTAGTTTCATATCATTCTTTGACCAAACCAAAAAAAAAAAGAATACTCTTCAGCTCTCGAAAGGCACTTCCAAAGTTCTGATAGATGTGAGTATTTTCTCTCTTGATTTTGTTTTTTGAAGTTTCAACGAAACACTCCCGGTATTATTCAATTTTAACGAAAAATCACATTTTTACATTTTCTTGATACTTTTCACTATACCTTAATTTGTCTTTTTTCATTAAAACTAAAGTTTTTTTTTTTACTTTTCGCTAGTTTTTTTTTTTTTTTTCAACTTTAAAAATCTTTAATAATACTTATAAGATTAAACATTTTCCTTCATTCGCGTGGTATGCAATAAATTATCAGCTATACTTATCGCAAAACCCTGAACTTATGTTAACTCACGATTCTTAATCAAATTTTGCAAATTTTTGAGTTTCTGAAATTGGAAACTGATGAGATTGCATCCATAAATTTTGAGTTTCTGAAATTTCCAGGAATAATATAACTGAATGCTTCAAGAAGCATCTTCATATTTCTTGTGCAGCAAGAAAGCTTAAATATGAGTTTTCTAATCTAAATACATTATACATTAGCTACTTCCTGCAGTGGCAGGCAAGACTTGTTCTCGGAAAATTGATTGGAGTCGGCCCCTTTTACTCCGGCTTCGAGGACGGGTGCCAGTGATTCTTGGAAAATTCGCGAGCGTAAATGGAAACGCCACTCGAAGCAACGATGAGGAGGTGAGAGATGCAGAATGCCGTTGTTGGTTATAGTCCTGATGATCGGTTGGCGTACTCCTGAACCAAGGCACCAAACAGTGACGGTCTTTCAAGCAAGCGGGATGGTGCATCAAATTCCCTAGCTAGTCCTGTTAAAGACAGAAACGGAGGAGTGTCAGCCACAAATTTTCAGGTGGTGAACGAATGCCGATTGTGACAAGATATTAAGTTAGAGGGAGCACTCACCTGCATCTACTACTAAAACTCGATTGCAGTCCATCACCGTTGGTATTCTGTGCGCAATGCTGATAATTGTACAGGCAGCGAAATCCTCTCGGATGATCCTTTGTATTACAGCATCGGTCTGTGAATCCACTGATGCAGTGGCCTCGTCCATGAACAAGAGTCGGCTGTGCTTTAACATGACTCGTCCCAAACAGAGAAGCTGTCTTTGTCCCACGCTCCAATTGTCTCCGTTATCAGCCACTGTCAAGTTAAAATTTCATGAGTAAAGTTCAGTACATAATCCTAGCGCTAAAATGTCGGTCTCAAGATGCAGAGAGTAAACAATGGGGAGATCCACATACCTAAAGAGTTAAGTTTTTCGGGTTTTGCAGCAACCACGTCTTTAAGTTGGCAGCGTTCGAGGCTCTACAAGAAAATTAAGATCATTGCAAATAAGCATACAGCATTGTTTCAACTAAGCGAAAGATGACATACAGACATTATGTGTAATTCAATATTATTACTTTCGACGTAGCCTTGTGTTTACCTTCCAAATCTCTTCATCTGAATACATTCCAACTGGGTCAATGTTGCTTCTCACAGTTCCTTCAAAAAGGACAGGTTCTTGAGGAATGATCCCAAAGCGAGACCTGAGATCGTGAAGCCCTATTGTGGTTATATCGATCCCATCGATGATAATTCTGCCTCCTGAAGGTTCTACCAGCCTAAAGAACACTTGGATTATAGTGGATTTCCCACTTCCTGTTCGACCAACAACGCCAATCTTCTCACCCCCGAAAATGTTTAAACTAATGCCTTTCAGAACCAATGGTGTATTAGGGCGATATCTGACCTGCTCACCACAAAGTTTAAAATATCAACAAAAGGAACCGAGGCCTTATAGCTTTAGACGATGTAATGGTGATGACAAACTAATGAAAACGTGCATTCAAACCATGGAAGTTACAAATAGAATTGAAGACAAACTGACCTGCAAGTCTTTGAGCTCAACGTTGCCACGAGAAGGCCAATTTGGAGGAGGAACACGGTCTACAATCTTCCATGCTGCTTCTGATGGAATGTTTGTGAACTGTTTTACCCTCTCAACCGACACCATCCTATTTTCAACGAAGCAGCTCAAATATATGGCCCAGAACAGCACACCATTAAGGGACAATCCGTAGGAGAGAGTTAAACCAACATTCTCTGCACCATAAAGGAAAAACCGGTTTAGTCAAATCCCTGCAACACACTCGTCTACTGTCGCTCTCACACATCAAATCTTGCTCATAACCGAGAATCAATCAGACATTGTAATTATTATGAACTAAAACAAGAAGGATCGGGAGTGTTTAAATACCGGGCTTTATAATGCTGCTCGGCAACAAGATCATGAATATAGCGGATACACAGAGAAGTAAACTCCCAAGCATCTCCAATCGGAAACCCAACCACTCATTGGACCCATTGTTGTGGAAATCCATACGTAAGTTGGCATTAACTCGTTTGATGTTTTCCTTGGAGAACAAGCTTTGCATTCTGAATGAGCGGATTGTCATCACCCCAGATATGCTTTCTGAGAAATGATGGATTACAGGAGCTTTTGTGATTGAATCAAGTCGAGTTAACTCTCGAGATGATGCAAGATAGTAACCCTAAAAATTTAAAAACAATCTTCAGTATATAATTAAGGTGGCGCCATTGCTGACAGTCGTAAAATGTTGGTTAAAATTAACGCTGTAATAAAACGAACAAACATACCCGGTACCAGACATTAAGCCAAACAAGCGGAATCAGCAAGAATACAGTGGGCCATGAGTATTGGCATATGATGATGAAGATGCCAAGCACAGTAAAGTACATGGCAATGGTGACACCCATTATGAAGGGAAGAAATAGATCGATATTCGTCTGATCAGTTGATGCCTGGTGAACAGAAAAACTCTCATCAGTTAACAAATCGAGCAATACATACATGAAGTTAGAGTAAACAGATTATGGATATGTCATCACGTATGACCAAAACGTACCCTACTCAGAATTCTTCCAGAAGGTGTAGTATCGAAAAACGACATGGGGGCATGCAGGATGCTATGAAGAATTTGCTTGAAAAATGTCTGAGCTGTTTTAAGCCCCACAAACATCACGACAAGTGCTCTTATCAATACCACAACGAATGAGACACAAGCAATAATTGCATAGACGATTATAAACTCCGATGGTTTGAATGACGCTGCACGCTTTGCTGCAGTTTCATACGACAGCCAGTAATCACCCGACATTTGAGATGCTTGCCACATCAGAGACAATGACAACACTACCACCACACCACCCCATCCGTAAGCCTCCGTGCAGTAAACTTTGTAAATGTGCAAGCTTACTTTGCCGGTTTCTTTCTCCTCTTCTTTGATGAGCTTAGAACTCGCTTTATCAGACTTTGGCTGGTCCAAAGAGCTGTTTTCACCATTTGCTTCCCCACGTTTTGAAGAGAGTTGCTGAGATATTTGAGGTCCGTGGGAACTTTTGCTGGGATCAGCAGTACTCATTTCTACAAGTTCCATGGAGTTTTCGTGGGCAGCAACAAGCTCTTTGAAATCCAGGCCGGAATTTAGCAAATCGTTATACTTTCCTGCTTGTACTATCATCCCGTCTCTCATGACCTGATATTTATAAACAGAAGGGATACATAAGCGCATTGCATTTTTAAATTCTTCGAGAATCAACAAACAATTCTTAAATACTTACCAAAATAAGATCAACATTATGCAAGAAGTCCACTTGATGAGTTACAAGTAAAACCGTCTTGTTTTTAAGCGCTCCCCTCACACATTCCTGCAGAAAGCCAGACATTACAATTATAAGCGCCATTTTAGATTACAAAGATCTAAATAAGACCGTTGTTTTTCCGTTTTTCTTTCAAAACCTGTAGATTACGAAGATCAAATACATCATCTAAGCACCAGTGAAGTATGAGCTAGACTATTCAATCACTGTGAAATCGAATGTAGAAGAAAATCTAAAGTTTTGTCACCTTAAATATTTCGGACCCTGTATGAGCATCAACAGCACTGAAGACGTCATCGAGAAGATATATGTCACAGTTTTGATACACAGCACGAGCAAGTTGTATCCTCTGTTTCTGGCCACCACTTAGGTTGATGCCACGCTCTCCTATCTCAGTTTGATCTCCAAACTCCATCAGTTCCATGTCCTTTTCCAAGCAACAAACCCTGACAACTTCCCGGTATCTCTCTCTGTCCATTGGAAAACCAAATAGGATGTTTTCTTCAATGGTTCCGTTTTGAATCCATGATGTTTGAGCCACGTAGGCAGTTTTCCCGCAAACTCGTACCTGTTTTCAAAGATTTTGTTAATTTAACAAGTGATTGAGTTGAAGCTTCAGTGAAAGGATTTAACATCGTAAGAGACATCTGGAAAATGATCTAATAGTATCAAATCATACCGTTCCCGATAACTTGTGCATCTCACCGAGAATTGAGGCGAGAAGGGAAGACTTTCCGGATCCCACTGTCCCTACAATCGCGGTTAGCTCGCCTTTGTTAACATTTATATTTATGTTTTTCAAAGCCTCTTCATTGCTTTCATCGTCCCAGCTAAACGCGGCATCTTTAACTTCAACAGCAATCCTACTATCGCAGTCTTCTACCCTCTCCACCGAATCCTCCACCAATTCCCTACTCATCATATATCGATCCAACCTCCCAAGCGATATAATAGCTTGAGAAATAGATATCATAGATTGCGGGAATGCCCTGATTGGCTCCTGAAGAATTTTGAAGATGGTTGTGGTTGTGAACACTGTCCCAGCATCGAGTTGTACACCCAACAAAAGTGCAGTCCCGAATGTGAGAGTTGATATAAGTACTGGGGTGCACCACATAACCACGACATTGGCATTGATTGAGTAAAAGAACTTGGTCAGCCAGCTAAACTCTGAGTCGCGGAAAGCTTGGATTCTTTTGTTAAAGTAATCCTCCCAAGCTTGGAACTTGATCACGCGCATATAATTAAGCATCTCGTTCGTTGCCTTCATCCTTGAATCCCGATTCTTCATCACATTAAAATTGAACCTGTTGTTCCGCCTCGCTCCCAGCACAACAAACACAAGAATACACATGACTCCGATTACAGCTGTGATCGCTGCTGCACCAAGGGTGTTATATAGAAGGGCCAATGCGATGGTAAGTTGCACCGGCATCATCCATATAGAGTGCAGCTGCAGCATCATATCTGAGAGCTGTTGGGCATCAACCGCCATGTAATTCACAATCTGTCCAACTCCATGAGCCTGCCGAGCTGAGCATGACAACCTCAACCCCTTCTTGTACAAAGAAGTAATAAGCGTGGAACGAATGAGCATCCCAAGCTTCTGGGAGTTGAAGTTAAATTGGTGAGTGGTTAAAACTTCGACAAATTTCGCGCATAGAAGGATCAATACGAGGTAGTATCCTTCAAATGGCGAGGTTCTTATTCCCGCGGTGTAATCTACAAAACTTTGGATAAGCACAGGCCCAACATACAGGACACAAAGCCTGATCACAGCAAGGGAAGCTGTGAAAGCAATTTCTTTCCAGAAGCACCGGAGTAATGTTGTTCGAACTGGATGGTCTGATTTTTCTTGCGGTTTTGGCCACTTCGATTCAAAGAGAACTGACATTACTTCAGCTCTATGTTCCGGGGAAAGGGATGGGATTTCGTCAACCTTCAGCGGACTTTTGTACCCTTTACTTAGCAGAGGATTCATCCAAATCCAAAAGGTTTTAGAAATTATAGAAGCCGAAGCAAAGCCAGTCACATTGGATTTGTTCGAAAGGGGTTCGTATAATACTGCGTCTCCGTTTGTAACTCCCTCAAATTCTCTGTTCACAGAAATCCCAGTTGATCCTCTAATGGCGATAACAAGAAGAACAATCGCCAAAGGGAAAGAAGCCATTGAAACTATATCATCCAATCTCAAACTAGGCTCCTGAATTCCTTGAGCATAAACCAAACGAAGTATCCCCGATGCTGTGAACAAGGAAATAACCACAAAGTTTGCAACCCAATAAATCCGAAGAGAAAGCGGGTGCTTAACCGCTTCAAATCTCTTCCCGTGCGCCACCAGAATTGTGATCACTGCATGAGTTATGGACTGAACCAACCAGAAAACCCCGTCTACGAGCTTCCATGGCAACTCGGTGCTTCTAGTGAAAGCAAGAATGCAAACAACTGCATAACATATTGTCAACAGACTGCTCACCATCAGAGAAGCCTTAAAGAGGAGAGTAGTTCTGAGATGAGCTCTGTTGTTCCTAATGAGGGGCTTGTTGAGGTCGGAGTTGCGGCCGCCATCCGCGGAGATGAAGCGGGAATAAAGCTTGTGTATCGAAAATGCCAAGAGCGAGAGCAAGAAGAGGAGGTCGACAGTGGACAGCAGAGCTCTCTGAGGACAGGGAGAGAGGAAAATGAATCTCAGCCATTGAAAGATTGGTGTCACGGCGGTGTCCTCCGAGGACTGAACCACGGATGGCGAACACGAAAATGATGTGATCCAAGTCCCGGAAGACATGGCTACAAAAAACTTCGTAGCAGCAGCTAAAGTTGCAGACTTTTATGCTGAAATCAAATCAGCAACCTTCTTCCTTTTCCCTGAAATAATTAATAGAAAATTATAGCACGCGTAAACGTAACCAAATTGTCTAGAACAAAAGCGTCATTTGTATAAATTAATTTAAAATAAAATATCGCTAATGTGGAGCAAAAAATAATCAAAATGCGACATGTAGATTTTTAGGTGAAAAGGACAAAATTGCCCTCGAGACACACCAGGTTTCCTACATGCGAGCAGTGAAGAATCATCCATCAACCGAGTCAAGAGTGCCCAAAATAGGTAATAAGTTCAAATTTATCTCATCCATCTTTACTCCATATCCTCTACCAGGAAATCATTACATAACCTCTCAAAACCTCCCAAAACATTTCTTTTATTATGATAATTAGCCAATTAATATATTTATACCTAATTAATATATTAATTGCTAATTGAATCACCAAATAACATCTCAAAACACACTTAAAGGCCGGCCACATCTCATTCCCTATATATATGACCCTATTTCTTCTAAAAAGCTAATTCCAACACATTTGCAAAATTCCAAAAACTCTCTAAACATTTTTTCTCTCTAAATTCTAACTTTGGCATCGGAGATTCTTCGACCAAAGCCCCCATTCATCATGAACGCGTGAGGTTCTTGGCCTTGACCAAATATGTTGATTGTTTTTTAGGTAAAATTTTGTCAAAGAAGAAAAATGCGAAAATTTGCATTCACAGCTAAATTATTGTAATAAAAACAAAGAAAGGTAAAAAAACACATGTTTTGGAACCACCTCTTTGTAGAAGTCACACAAACCTTAAAAAAAATGGAAAATTGATTCTATCAATGTAGAAATAATTTAATGATAACCAACATCAAATATCATCAGCTAAACAACATAATTATTCATAATTTTCATATGATTTAGTGTAGAGTTCCAAAAAAAAAGGTATAAAATATTTGAAATCCTTAAGGAAGTATGAGGAAAATCATGAGGCCAAGACTTGTGCCGTTTTTGACTGAATCATTGTTTTGACTACTTGGCAGTTTCCTTAGTATTTTCTCGGAGAATGCTCAGAAGACTCTGCGTAGACTTTTCGCCACGTCATGTATGCACATAGATTAGCATCAAATTATGAAGTGGCAGAGGGTTTATAAAGAGTCATACTTTAAAGGTGTCTTCCTAACATTTTTCCTTTCACAGATAGAGCACATGAACACAACCAACGTAGATTGCGCTTTACAACAATCGCACAAAACAATAATGCTCATGCATTATGATGCGGTTTTGATCCTCACCAATTCCCTAGTTACTTAACATTTAAAGATTTAGCACACTAAAGCTCTCATTTAATAACATAAATTTAAATTTAAATTAATTAAACTAAATAAACCATTCTTGTCAAAGACGAAACCAATAGAAAACAAATGAACACAATTACAAGAACGTCTGAATTAAATAACCAGTAAAGTTGAAGAGGACAAGTCAGATGGAGATCAATTGGTAGCAAATATTACGGGAATAATTAAGCTAGAGATAAACAGAATTATATTATAATAATCACAGTGTTACAGTAGTTGGAGAATAATTAGAGCTATTCAATCAATTAAACCAAAATTTTAACATTAACCTCAGAAACAATATCACAATTCAAAATTAATAAATTTTAAGGCAAAAAAGAAAAAGTTAAGAACAGTTAAAAAAATTGTTAGCTTCACCTATATGCAGCAAGAAAAGGAAGAAGGTGAGAAAATTCTAACTCATTTCTTCCCCATTTTCTCCCTTCCGTACATTTCTGGCCTTTCTCGAAATGCATTTTAAGCCTTTAATTGAGTAAATTAAATAAAAACCAATTGGTAGCAAATGAGAAGTCAGATGAATGTGATGAATGAGAAAATGAGAAAATTCTTGCACAAAAATATTTTGAACAAAATGTAAAAATGAAGGCTAAAGCTCGAAAAAATACTTTCATAGAACAGGTTGAGTGGTAGACATCCTTGGGAATTAATGCAAAGTGTATGTGTAGAGATTCTTACACATGACCTTAAATTAGTCCTTAGAAATGTCACGGTGACTATGAACCTGTTTTATGTAAATCTTTTCTCTTATAGCTGATGCATGTAAAAGCCAAACACCCCAATTGACAAAGCAAGAGAGAGAGAGAGAGAGAGGGAGAGAGAGAGACATGCATGCTTACCTGGGTTTGTTGGAAGCTATTTGAACGTTGAGTTTGAAGAGGAAAAAGAGCAAGGGATCTTGGGAGAGAGAGAGGGAGAGAGAGGGAGAGAGAGAGAGAGAGAGAGAGAGACTCAGACAATTGAATCACACTCGGAAGAACTGAAAGCTGCTGGACAATCCCAAGGCATAAAACACCGTTCCTAGAAACGTGTCCCTTATCAGCTCTCGACCTCTCAGACCTTCATACCCAATATATTGGCGTTGCATATATAACTAACGCACACAGAAAGGAAGACGCTTAGAGAGAGAGACAGAGAGAGAGAGTTGCTTTTCTGTGACTAAAGGGTCTGCCTGTGTCCGTCTATGTATGATTAGCTTCACGGTCCACAGAGCAGGAAATGGACAAGAAAATTATTTATGGCTTCAGAGACGTGGAGGAGTGGGGTTCTGCAGGCTTCACTCCGTCGAGAGAGATATACATTTTTTTTTTAATTTTTTTTATTTTTTTCTATTGGGGCTAGAGGCTAGGGATGGGACAGAAAACATACAGACACAGTTTGTTTCTAACCTCTTAACCCAATTAATTCTTATTTGTTTTCTCATTTACGTACTTGCCACTTTCATCGCGGCTTCCAAACCAGGAGAAAATCTCCATGCACGCGCCGTGTAAGAGCGTGGGATACAACTTCAATTACAAACAAACGGTGATATTACACGTAGGATATATATCGTACCAATAATTTGGTACTTTATTATTACATTATGTAATCTAAATTTATGTACAAATTAGTATTTTCATACTTTATGTAATTTTTTAGATGCGCATCAGCGACTAGTAGGTTATATTATCATAATTTTAGTAGGTAACAAGTTAATGGAATTATTGAAATAATGACTCATATTTATTTAGTTCACGTTTCTGGAAAATTCGAAATCTTAGTGAGAAAACAATTTCCATTGAATTGGGGTCCTCTATATCTCAAGTTTTAGTAATAATAAAACTCTTATGTTCTTTAACATTTATATAAAGCATTGATTTGGAAATTAAGAAAATAAAATGGATAAAAGTAAAGCAGTTAATCAAAACTTAGAGTGCTTTAATAAAAACTAAAAACCAACTAATATGCGCTTCAATAAAAATTACAAACCAACTAATGTAAAGTACCTATTAACATAACTCTTTTGTTAGTCAAATTTCCATGATTACACACTCTCACCAAAACTAAACAACAATAAAAAAATATACACAACTTGTAATTACATGACAACATGAATTTTGTTGTTTTCATCAACCTCACAGCCATCTAAATATAGCATTGCACAATTTAAAAATTAAATAAAAATTTGAGAAGGTTTTTTTAACCCCACGTCTCCCTCTTCAACCCCCTTCCCTTCTGCCACGCCCAATTTTTTCTAACTTTTTTTTAAGTTTTCTTTTTTATTTTTAATAAAAATGAATATTTTTAATAAAAATAAACAATTTAATTACATACGCATAGCATGTAAGCATATGACTAATCTCTACTAATTAATAAAACACTCATTGTCAACCAAAATTTTATGAAATTATCAGTTTAACTCTCTAGTTAAAACAGAAAATGAATAAGAAATATGGGGTTGAAATGTAATTTCACACAACCAAATTTTGCTGTTTTTTTTTTTTCAAAGTCTCACCTACATATAATTCTAACATATCTTTAATTTTTTTTAAAAAATTCAAAGTCTCTTCCTCTTTCCTTCTATTTCAAAAACAAAAATAAAAAAATTTCTCACACACTTTGTGTGAGCCCATATGCTAGTGTTTAATTAATAAAATGTGAAGTTTGAGCGGTTTAATGTCATTATTGTTTTACAATTTCATGTTTGTTTCTTATACAATCACAAGTACAAATCCTCTCCTTTATTAACTTATATGCGATTCTTCAACACCTTTCTATTTAATATCTCTCCAAAGTAGGTAAAATCATATAATGGGCATTGAAAACAAATAAATACATGATTCTTTGTAGCAGTGACATCGACACGACTACTTTTACTTTTCACACTTTTTTCACTTTTTGATCATCGAATTAACTAAATTGAAATAAACTAATGACATAAATTTAAAAAAAAAATACGTAAAAGATAAAATGAATGTGTAAATCCAAGATAGCACTATCTTTGTGCATACGTGGATTTTTCTTTTTGGATGGCTGGGGCATTAGGTCATAACTAACACTTTTCTCCACTAATGCACACGTAAGACACTAAACACGATGTCAAGGTGAAACTCATTGGTCCGCTTCACCTAACACCCATAGAAAAGTCGACACGTCTCATTACTTGCGATGGAAAAAGAACTTGTTTGATAAGTATTTTTAAATGATTAAGGGCACGTTTGTTTGATAAGATTAGCAAGGCTTGGACTGGACTAGACTATAGTCTTGTGTTTGGTGTGCAACCGGATTAGCTTTAATGAGCTTAACCCGGACTCGCTTGGACTAAGGACCTCCTTAGGTGGTCTTCGCGAGCAACCCCAAAACCCAGCGGATTCGTAAGCCAGAGCAAACCGAGAGAGTTTCTGCCTTCCCTTCGTCCTGTCTTCCCTTCGTCCCTTCGTCCTGTCTTCCCTTCGTCCTCATCTCTACGTTCCCTCTCATCTTCGTTGCCGTGCTCTCTCATCTTCGTCCTCCTCACCCTCATCTGAGCGTCTTCCTATCTCTGCATCTGCTCGCCTCATCTGAGTTGTACGGTAAACTTCGATTCTTCTATTAATTGCATGTATTTGTGTTGCAGATGGTAATTTTACTGAGTTTTATGTGATTTGATTGTTTTGGGTTTGATAATTTTTGAATCATAGAGATCTGCACTTGAATAAATTAGGGTTTTGATATTTAGGTGAAATTGAAATTAGGATTTGGGCTTTTCATAAGATGAGATGGAACTTGGGAATTTAGGATGTCAATGTTGTAAAACTTGAAAGTCCTACCCACATGTTGTTTTCGATTTTTAAAAATTGGGGTTTCAACAATGGGAGTACTCTGTGCGTGTGTGTGTGTGTTTCTGTGTGTGTGTATAATTTATGTGTATGTCATTACCAAAAATCCTCGTCTCCAAGCATACTCTCTCCAAGCACCTGTTTCACTGTATGTTTCTATCTGCCAAATTAGGATGAATTGATGAGTTAGTACATAAGAGTTTCCTCTTCTCGATTTAGTGTTAAAGTCTGTCATTCACTAGAAGGCCTTTCACTGCCAAATTAGGTTAATCGAACATAACTGGGCATAGTTGTTTTGGTATGTTTTAGCTCATATCGAAACATTTGCGTTTCTTTAGCTTAACTATTCTGGATGATGAGGTCAATTATTCTGTTTGCATATTCTAATGTCACTGAGCATGGATAACTTGATTGTGCATTTCTCTTTTCTCTTAAGTTTTTGTTTTCATTTTTTTAATTCTTGTTTCATTTTGTTTCTTTATAACTTTCTGTGTGTGTGTGTGTGTAATTTGTGTGTGTGTGTGTGTGTTTATGTGTACTCATTAACATGAGGGGGGTGTGTGTGTGTTTGTGTGTACTCATTAACATGGGGGGGTGTGTGTGTGTGTTTGTGTACTCTGTGCGTGTGTGTTTGTGTACTGTGTGTGTGTTTGTGTACTATATGTGTGTGTGTAATTTCTCTGTGTGTGTGTGTGTGTTTGTGTGTACTCATTAACGTGGGGGGTGTGTGTGTGTTTATCTACTGTGTGTGTGTGTGTTTGTCTACTGTGTGTGTGTGTCTGTGTATTGTCTGTGTGTGTGTGTGTATTGTCTCTGTGTGTGTGTGTTTGTGTACTGTCTATGTGTGTGTGTGTAAGTGTACCGTGTGTGTGTGTGTGTGTTTGTGTACTGTGTGTGTGTGTGTTTGTGTACTCATTAACGTAGGGGTGTGTGTGTGTGTGTTTTGTGTACTCATTAACGTGGGGGGGGTGTGTGTATTGTGTGTGTGTGTTTGTGTATGTAAGTTCTCCGTGTGTGTGTGAGTGTGTACTGTGTGAGTGTGAGTGTGAGTGTGTGAGTGAGTGTGTGTGTGTGTGTGAGTGAGTGTGTGTGTGTGTGAGTGTGTGTGTGTGTGTGTGTGTGTGTGTGTGTGTGTGAGTGTGTTTTTGTGTGTGTTTATGTATGTAAGTTCTCCGTGTGTGTGTGAGTGTGTGAGTGTGTACTGTGAGTGTGAGTGTGAGTGTGTGAGTGAGTGTGTGTGTGTGTGTGTGTGTGTGTGTGTGAAGTGTGTGTTTGTGTGTGTTTGTGTATGTAAGTTCTCCGTGTGTGTGTGAGTGTGTGAGTGTGTACTGTGAGTGTGAGTGTGAGTGTGTGAGTAAGTGTGTGTGTGTGTGAGTGTGTGAGTGTGTACTATGAGTGTGAGTGTGAGTGTGTGAGTGAATGTGTGTGTGTGTGTGTGTTTGTGTGTGTTTGTGTATGTAAGTTCTCCGTGTGTGTGTGAGTGTGTGAGTGTGTACTGTGTGTGTGTAAGTGTACCGTGTGTGTGTGTGTGTATGTGTTTGTGTACTCTGTGTGTGTGTGTGTTTGTGTACTCATTAACGTGGGGGGGTGTGTGTGTGTGTTTGTGTACTCATTAACGTGGGGGGGGTGTGTGTGTGTTGTGTACTCATTAACGTGGGGGGGGGTGTGTGTGTATTGTGTGTGTGTGTTTGTGTATGTATTGTGTGAGTGTGAGTGTGTGAGTGTGTGAGTGTGTACTGTGAGTGTGAGTGTGAGTGTGTGAGTGAGTGTGTGAGTGTGTGTGTGTGTGTGTGTGTGTGTGTGAGTGTGTGTTTGTGTGTGTTTGTGTATGTAAGTTCTCCGTGTGTGTGTGAGTGTGTGAGTGTGTACTGTGTGTGTGTAAGTGTACCGTGTGTGTGTGTGTGTGTGTGTTTGTGTACTCATTAACGTGGGGGGGGGTGTGTGTGTGTATTGTGTGTGTGTGTGTTTGTGTATGTAAGTTCTCCGTGTGTGTGTGAGTGTGTGAGTGTGTACTGTGAGTGTGAGTGAATGTGTGAGTGAGTATGTGTGTGTGTGTGTGAGTGTGTGTTTGTGTGTGTTTGTGTATGTAAGTTCTCCGTGTGTGTGTGAGTGTGTGAGTGTGTATTGTGTGTGTGTGTAAGTGTACCGTGTGTGTGTGTGTTTGTGTACTCATTAACGTGAGGGGGTGTGTGTGTGTGTGTGTTTGTGTACTCATTAACGTGTGGGGGTGTGTGTGTGTGTATGCAGTGTATGCAGTGTGTGTATGTATGTATGCAGTGTGTGTGTGTGTGTGTATGCAGTGTATGCAGTGTGTGTATGTATGTATGCAGTGTGTGTGTGTGTGTATGCAGTGTGTGTGTGTGTGTGTATGTATGTATGCAGTGTGTGTGTGTGTGTATGTATGTATGCAGTGTGTGTGTGTGTACTTGGTTTATAACCATGATATTACAATGTGAATGTTTTGTATTGTGTGTAATTGGTTTATAACCATG